TCATGACCTGAGCCGAAGGCAGATGCTTAACGACTGAGTCACCCAGGTGCCCCTTTCATGCTCATCTTAACCCCACGCCAGGAGCCTTGGCTTCTCTCTTCCTTTGACTATGATGCCATCTTGTACTTGCCCTGATAGGGACTTGTGCCTCCATGCACTTGTGGAGAGCAATGGATGTCTACATCTTACGGTGGCCACCGTACAATAGGAGATTTCTTGAAGGATTTTCCCCAGACTCCTAACATGTTGACATGGGACAATTGAAAACAGATCCGGAGCTAGACAGGCTGCATCCCTGAAATAGGAGCTATTGACAATCATTTTCTGAACGATAACTGAGGTTCCTTTAAGTTCCTTTGATGTCACAGAGAGGTAGGGACCCTGTACCTGTAGTGTATTCACAAGTGAGGAACTGAAGTGTGGGAGAGACACATAGCTGACTAGGAACCCATTCTGTCATCTTTGAATCTCCAGAGCCTGATTTAATACCCAACATGTAACAGGAGCTCAGTGAATGTTTTTGGGATGAATGATTGAAACCCACTTATGTCCATGGAAAATTCCTGTCTGGTACTGTCATGCCCATGGGACCAGGTTAGGTGAAATATTTTGGGGACTCATGCTTTTAGGGGTTCTCCTGAACCCCTATTATACTAAAATATATATATTTAAAAAAAATTAAAAGCTACCATCTAAAACTACATTGAAGGTAAAAAAAAATTCAGAAGGGTTTCCTTGGGGTGGGGGTTAGGTAGGAGGGGAGGATTGACCGAGAAAGATACAAGGTAACTTTCTGGGGAGATGGAAATGTTCTATACCCCAATATGGTCTGTGTTACCTTGGATGTATCTGTCAAAACTGTGCAGCTAAGATTTGTGCATTTCAATGGATATAAACTTCACCTAAAAAAAAGGAAGGATTTATCATATTATCTTGTTCACTTTGTTTGCTTGAAATTATTCATAGTAGAAAATTTTAAGTGCCATCTAGTGAATCTTACTTCACATTAGAGATAAGGCAGGGCCAAGGTCCCCCGCCCCCTTCATTTAATAAGGAAGAAAGGGGTGGCAGAAAAAATATAAGTAGAATATCAGCAAATTTAATTTGGGAGTAGATAGGAAGAGTCATTTTTATTTTTATTTTTATTTTTTTTAAGATTTTATTTATTTATTTGAGAGAGAGAGAACACCTGAGAGGGGATAGGGTCAGAGGACGAAGCAGACTCCCTGCTGAGCAGGAAGCCCGATGCGGGACTTGATCCAGGGACTCCAGGATCATGACCTGAGCCGAAGGCAGTTGCTTAACCAACTGAGCCACCCAGGCGCCCCGGGAAGAGTCATTTTTAAATATAGCTCCTCATTACGTGCCTATCAATGCCTTTCCTCCAGAGGTCTGTATATATGCACGAATATGTATATAACAAGTTATTTTCTCAAAAGAAATTGCATACATAACTGACAAACAGACTCACGTCTAGGATGGCCCATCCTCTTGGGTCAAGTGGGTGGTGGGTGCACTCAAGTCCACTTACCTCTGCTATGCTTTCCCAACTGCTCTGGCCTTCACTGACCTCTGCCTCTTGGAACTACAGCACGCACATAGAACTCAACTTGATTTCGTTTTGTGTGCTCTTTCTTTTATGTGTCAGCCATGTTTCTCCAGCCCGAAAGAGAGCTCTTTGAGGGTAGGGGCCCAACTTTGTAACTTTTGGTAGCCAGCCCGTGTGTCTGCCTTTCTAGAGCCTCCCTTAGAGCTTACACTACGGGAGGGGCTCAGTGAGTAATGTCACCCATCCTAGTGACAGGCCAAAAAAGGCAGAGGTCAGGCAGTTAGGCTGGAACTCATCCCCCTGTCGCATGCGCCAGGGTCTCCACCTAGCGCTTTACACATAATACCTCATTTCATCCTTACTTTATTTATTGAGCCCTTGAGATAGGCATTGTTGTTTGTGTTTTACAGATGAGCAAAACGGAGATTAGAAAAAGTGAAGTAATTTGTCCCAGGTTACCAGGTTGCGGGACAGCAGGTGTGGTGGTCTTAGTTCTCTCTGACTCCCAATCCATGATCTTCCACTGTTCCACACCCATCTCTTCCCTTTCCTCTGCCAAGAGACTAAATGTCCTACATTTTCAACACTGAATTCCAGCAACTTCATCTCCCCGCCAGAAATTGGATCACCTCTGCCACGGCTCTCTAGCGGGTGGGGACACCCCACAAACAGCCCCTCAGGCAGCATCTCTGTGCCCAGCATTCCTTGAGCAGATGTTAGAAGTGTGAGAACCCATTCCTGAGCTGGGAGAGATGACTTCCCAGCTGGTGTTGAGGCCTTACCTTCCTGAGCGCACACAGTGGGTATGGCGTGAGCATAGCTCTGGGGTCAGCTGGGAATGACTGTCCAGGTCCTGTAGGAGAGAACAAGGTTTTTAGAACTGGCAGATGGCCAGTTTCCCCACTCCATCACTGGGGTGTGATTTGAACACAAATACATAACAACATGCAAGTGAAAGGTGGCCTCTTTTTCCAGGAAGCTCTGCCATAATCACAGGAGGATGACCTGCTGAGAGGCCGAGGGCATGGCCCTGGCCCAAGATTCTGTTCCGTCTCTCATTAGCCATAGGGATGTCTGGCAAAACAGTAGGCTGCGACTTTTCCTACTTTATGTACAACTAACTTCCCCCTTACCCCCCCCCCTTTTGCTTTAAATGTGCAGGTTGTGTTGTCAACAACGGTGAATGTGGATGGACACGTGCTGGCTGTTTCTGACAACATGTTTGTTCATAACAACTCTAAGCATGGCCGGAGAGCAAGAAGGCTGGACCCATCAGAAGGTAGGGTTGCCTGCCGTCTGGGCTGAGAACGACAGACAAATCAAGGTCCCCGCCATTGTCCTGGTTTGAATTTTAAATTTATGTCTGGGCAGGCATGGAGAAAATACACAAGATCATGTGGGTTTTAAGTGAAGTTGTAAACACTGACTCCTGCCTGTTCTCTTGCAACCCCGCACGCCTCCCAGTCGGCACTCAGGCCCCCGTGCCCCACTGCCTCTGCCATCTAGTCTTGTGTTTTTCTTTTTGCTAGACGGGCATTTGAGGCAAACATAAGCCTATGACATCTTAGTTAAACAGGAACATTACAGTGCAGACATGTATGAATAAGTGTCAGATGTGCCCTTAAACAGATTGTGGGCAAAACAAAACAATGTGCAGAATGAAATTGACACTAATTGATTTTTGTTTGCTTGGACAAGAAGAAATCATGATCTGCTCTGGGTAGTTTTCCATGTGCATTAAAGTCGTCAGAAATACTGGTAACTGTTCAACTTCAAGTTGTCCAAAAAATTAAAGCATATCAAGGAAGATAACTGACAAATACCTGAGTAAATTCCATCTTTCACACTCCCCAACTCACTGGGATAAGGCGCTTTGTACTATAAGGTGAATGGCTAACCTAAGCTACTATTTTAATGTGATGTTTTGCTGTATAGTGCCCACCAGCCCCCGCCCCAGCTTGGCCCTTAAAATGTGTCTTGTATCCATTTAAATAGGAATTAATGAACTGAAAGAAAATGATTGAATCAGTAAAGAATTTGGAGTGGTGTTAATTCTCCCACAGTGGGCACTGAAAGGGGAGAAGAAAATCCCAGGGTTCAGAACTAGGAACCCATCCAGTTTCTTCTGACTGATTGGATGTGATTGACTGGCTGTTCAAAGGGGGCTCATGTTTTTGGAGTCCTGCCAAAGTTCTCCTCCACCTTTGACCCTGTCAACTTTGGAAATGGAGTGATGGATTGACTTTAGTTATGGCCTGAAAACCATATTGGGTTCCTGTTGGGATGTAAAGTCCAGAGGCCTTGGACATATGGAAGAAGGGGGGGCGGGAATCCGTCCTACAAAGTTAGGAAAGTGATTAGAAATTGTCTCCTGATAGAGCTGAAAAAAACCCCAACTATGATAGATTTTACTTTCTCCTTCTCTCTCTAGCACATTAGCAGGCCTTGTAAATCTTAACATCTTGGGGCAGAGGAGGTGGGGAGAGAAAAGGGATTTACACATTTCCAGTGTGATCAACTTATAAAAATATGGGGAAAAACAACAGGGTTTTAAAACCACCCTTTGCACAATTAGCTAAGTGTTCCATGTTTTCATACATAGTGGTCAACTCATTAGGCTTTAATGACCTGGTGAAAACCAGCAACCAATTAAGGAATGATGGCAAGTCAGCAAAGCTCAACTTGAACCTGGAATAACCAACAGCTTTTGAGAGCAGCCAATCCCCCAAACTCCAAATTTCAACCATCAAAGGACAGCCCTGACATTTTCTTTTCTATCATCTTAGCTACCCCCTGCATCAAAGCCATTAGCCCAAGTGAAGGCTGGACCACGGGAGGAGCCATGGTCATCATCATTGGAGACAACTTCTTTGATGGCCTCCAAGTGGTGTTTGGGACCATGCTTGTATGGAGTGAGGTAGGCAAAGGCAACTTGCTGCCCTGATTTTCTTTGGTGCAAAGATAGTTTTATTTGGGGAAATGTAATTCCTGAAGCATCAGCAGCATGGATGCACATTACTGATTACCTACTGTGAGCAAGGCACCAAGGATTAAAAGACATGTAAACCACAATTTATTGTAGGCATGGATCCCTTAAAAAGATAAATATTTATCGCAACATTGTTTATAATTGTGAAAAATTAGAAAGAGCCTAAATATTGAATAATAGGAGAATGGTTCAATTCCACTATTAAAAATTTTGTTTTGAAAAAGTTCTAATGACACAGGAGAAGGGATTGTATTTACACTATAATGTCAAGTGAAAAAAAAAATCAGGATAATGGTGTCTATGGATATAAAATCTAATAATATAACAGCCACCTGTAGAAAAGTTCTGGAAGCACACCAAAGATTAACAGTGGCCGTCTCTGGGTTACACAGGCTAATATTTTTCCTCATATTTTTTTATAATTTCCTAATTTTCTAAAGTGGATACGTTCTACTTTCATAATGAGAAAAACAACAAGACATTACAAAAAGACAAGTAACGGTGCTAGGTTGGATGTGGAAATTGCCAAGTCACTACATGAGAGAATAGCAGTGTAGGAAGCAGGGAGGGAGTGAATACAGAGATGGACCCTGGAGGCAGGGAGAGTCTTGAGCTGGGCTGGTGGGAAGGTGAGGATCTAGACAGGTTAAGTTGTGAGGAAATTCCAGGGTGGGAGGGAGAAACATGTGAGATAGAGGGACAGGGTGTTTGGAGAGTTTGGGGCCCTGGGGGGTCATCGCAGGAGATGCTCCGGTCCTCCATAGCCTTGGTGATAACTTGTATAACAGGTATTTTATTTATCTGCCTGTTCATTCCTCAGCTAATAACTCCTCATGCCATCAGAGTGCAGACTCCTCCTCGGCACATCCCCGGAGTAGTGGAAGTGACATTATCTTATAAGTCCAAACAGTTCTGCAAGGGAGCTCCAGGGAGGTTCATTTACACAGGTGGGTAAGAAAATGATCCAAGGGAGATGGGCTCCTGGTTCACCTTTGTTCTAGCTCCCAGTGTCTCCACTTTATAATGATTTTACCTTTCCTAGGTCTTTTTACTAGTGTGGGAAGAATGGACTGGGTGATAGGCATTGGATGGGGAAGTGTGGACTCGATTTTAAATTTTATTTTATGCAAGCGATTTCTGAACAGTCTGGGAGATGATCACAGGAGCTCATTTCATGAGTGCCATCTTTGTAAATTTGACTCGGCTAGAACCATGCTAGAACAGACTTTTAACTAAGTAATCAGATAAAAAATTAGGCCAAGTGGTTGGCTATAGCTAAATTTTCTTGAAAAGGATTTGTAAAAATTGCCCAACGGTGCTGCAGAGTGATTCAAATTGTTTTAAAATTTTATGAAAGTAGGAATTATCTATGATTTCAATGTTTGTTGAAATTTTCTGAATATTTGTTTAAAAACATTTGTTTAAAATTGGTTGAATATCTACTTTTTCTAAGGTACAATGACATATGAGACATGGCCCCTATTTCGAAATGTAGAAATTTTTGGAGGGGGCGGTGGTGTATTGCACAGAACAGCTGGGGGATTAGGATATTCAAAATGTTTGGTGTTTCCAGTGAATGGAATATGAATTCCAGGAAGACACAGTTTAGTGTGGACTAGTGCAGAGGGAAGGGCTTTCAAGAAGAAGATTGAAATCAAAGACTATTTTTAAGGCTGGGGAGGATTTGAATAGGCAGGGAAAAAGGAAGAATGTCCCAACTATGGGAATTTCATGTGCTAGAGCCCAGTGGGTAAGGTGAGCAGGTGTCTGGAGGAGAGAGGGCTGGTTTACAGCTGTGGTAATGCACTTGGGTAAAACTTAGGCCAGAACTTAGCCCACATGAGCTAGGAATGAGAAGGAAGGAAAACATAAAACAGCTTAAAAGCCCTGTAGGGTACCTAGAATGATCAAATTCAGAGACAGAACATCAAATGGTGGTGCTCAGGTGTTGAGGGAGGGAGAATGGGAGTGATATTTAATGGGAACAGAGTTTCAGTTTTGTGAAATGAGAAGTTCTGGAGATCAGTTGCTACACTTAGAAATGGCTTCAGATGGTAAATTTTGTCATGCGTGTTTTACCACAATTTTAAAAAATGAAAAAAAACCCCACAAAGCCTTGTATGGGAATTTAGACTTGATTTGTAGGACGACATTCAGTGTTCCCATGGAAGTGAGAGTAACTCAAAGGGGTTCTCGTAAGAAACACAAATGCTGTTGATATAAAAGATTGAGTTAGTCAGGGGAACAACTGAAGGCAGGAGGATCAACTAGGACATTATACTTTGAAGGAGAAAATAAGGGCCCTAGAGAAAGAAATATATAAACTTAGAAAATATATCACACACATTATGAAATTCTAGTATTTTATAGTGTCTTCTCTCATTTGGATCCAGACTCCCCTTCTTGTTTATGTGTAAATATCTGGTTACATATCACTGAGGAGTAGATGGACAAGGGTAATTTTTAGGTATATTTATCTAAAATTTCACCTTTGAATTTTCTCTCTTGAGAGAGGTACATCTTGGTTGGGTTAGTGTATGTGTGTGTGTGTGTGTGTGTGTGTGTGTGTGTTTCTATGGAAGATGCTATTGCAGTCACAGTAAAATATTTACTACTCATTTAAATGAGTATTTATGACATGCCTAGTACCATGGGCTGGCACAACTCTAGGCTCTGGGATATAGAAATGGGCAAGTTAAAATCCCTCATCTTAATAAAACTTACTTTCTAGAGGGGAAGACAGACAACACAGAAAATAGATGATATAATTTCAACAGTAATAAGTAAGGGATAGAGAATGAGGCAGGGTTTTGGGTGGGGTGATCAGGGAGGGACTCCGTGAGGAAGGAACGTTGAGTGGAGACCCATATCACAGGTGTGGAAATCTGTTCCCCTGCTTCTGTATCTTTTTGACCTTCTCTCCTCTCCATTCACATTGTCTTCCTTCTGTGCCTGGAACTCTTCAGGGTTGTGTTTCTGTTTGGTTCACCAGTGTTCTCTAGAACAGTGTCTGGCTGTCTGTGAATTGGGGGTAAATGTCCCAGGCAGAGAACAGATTATAGACTGAGAGGTGGGAATAAGCCCAGCATCATCAGGGAAGAGCATGAATACCTCTGGCCAGAGTGGCACTGGTGTGGAGGAGAACGATGGAAGATGAGGTAGGAAAAGCAGGTAGGGTAAGAGGTTTGGATGGGAAGGCACTGAGGATGAGGATGTTGAACAAGGGAGCAGTCAGCATCCAGACAGGATTTAAAACCACAGGGCTGGATGAGATGGCCTCAGAAGAGAGTGCAGCTACAGGATGGAAGAAGTCTCAAGATGGTGTCTCAGGAGCACCAGCATGTAGGGCTCAGGGTGAAAGGAGGAGCCTATGAAGTGACTGAGAAGGAGTGTCTGGTGGGGTAGGAGGAAAGCAGCAGTGTGAGCTGTCCCCGAGGTTAGGCGAGGAATGGGTCTCACTTTGGGATGCTTTCCACATGTAGGGCTCTGGCATCTCTGTTTTCTCTACCCACTGTATATGGATGACCATCTGGCCTGTGAGGAGACAGGTAGGAAAAATAGCAATCATGTTGCAACCAATCCTCAGCTCTCTTCTGAAGTAAGGAAAGATGTCGATACTCAGTGAGGCTGTGGACGTGTGGAGCCTGGTGTTGTGTGCATGTGCATGCACATGTGTGTATGCAGGTGAAAACTCTCTCTGAAGCAGAGGTCCTCACCCTTGGCTGCACTTTAAATCACCAACACCTGGGCCCCAGACAAAGTAGCTCTGAATCTCGGGGGGTAGGACCCAGGTATCAGTGTACTTGATATATTCATTGAACAAGCATCAGTTCTAAATTATGCTCAAGGCACAAAATCAGTAATTTCAGTATGCCTCTAGCAGCTTGCAGTTCTAGAAGGGGAGATAGCCATCTGGAGATTATAATAATTGGGTTAAGTCCCATAGAGGTATACATGCAAGGGGCACTGAGCAAGGAGTGGCTGACTTTAGGGAATCTGTGAAGACTTTCCAGAGGAGGTGACAATAGAGTGACATTTCTAAAGCAAAGTGGGAATTTACCAGACAGAATAGAGGAGGCCATGAGCCACAGTTTGTGGAAACAAAGTGTCTGCTGAAAGGGGAGCCCAGATAACCATGAAAATAGTAGATATTATGCTACTTGTAAATTCAAAGAATTATGGAGATGGTGAGACATTGCAGATCACTGGTCAAACTCCCTCTTTTGCAGATGGGAGAACTAAGCCCCAGGCAGAAGCAACTTGTTCACAATTACCCATTGAATTCAAGGTGGAGTCAGAGCAAGGACTCAGGCCTTTGGCCATCCCGCCTAGTGTCTTTTATTTAACACTTATTGTCAGCAAATAGCTCTGTTTTCCTGATGTCCTGAAATTTTATTGACTTATTCACGAAGCAAATATTGATTGAGCACACTCACTATGCTCAACACTGTGCTGTGTGCTGGGAACACTGTGGATGAGTCAGACCAGCAGGATCCTTCCTTCATTATGGTATAGTGATGTGAAGAGGAACTACTTATGCTCTAGGTTTGAGCTTTTTGGATGTCTCTAGTTCTTAAATCTTGTGTAAGTGACTTAACTTTTGAGTCTCCCCATCTATAAAATGGGATACTTATCTCACAGAGCTGTTGTGAGACTAAATAATGCTGTGCATGCAAACAGTGGTGTTTGGCTCTCCAGGGAAAAGTGGTGGGGAGGGAGCGGTAGGGTTGGTAGTATTTGCTGATTTCCATGGTGCAAATACTCTGACTATGGCTGATTTTAAGCTACCAGTATGACATCAGCTGGCTCACAGATTTCTGAAGTTTTAACAACCTGCTGTCACGAACTGGTCTAGAGCACCCTTTCATGTAAGCACTTGGGATAGAAAGTGACTATATCTTACTATTCAAAAGCATTTATTATTAATAATATTCTTATGATTACTATCAGGGTTACTACCATGGAAACTTTTACTATCAGGGTTATTACCATGGAAACTTGAACAAGTAATTACAAATGTGATGAGTACTAAAAAGGAGTTGTATAGGATGCTGGGAATATACACTTGGGAAATCGAACCTTCTTAAACTAAGATAATGGGGAAGGCTAAGAACAGTCCAAACACAAGAGACGGAATGTGCAAAGGCCCTGGGGTAAGAAAGGACACGGGATATATATGATGGCTACTATGAACAGGGCAGAAAGAATGAGTTAAAGAATGGTTGGCCTCAAGCTGGAAGGGAGGGTTGGGGCATGCTTCTCTGGCTCTACCCCAAGAGCCATGGGGAGCTATTGGAGTATTTTAAAGCTGGGGAGTGCCATGATCAGATTTGCCTTTTAGAAGATCATTCTGGCTGAATTGTAGAGAACGGCTTGGAAGCAAGGGTGGATTCAAGGAGGTCAGTCGGAGGGCAGTGTGGTGGCCTCAGCCAGAAATGATGGCAGCCTGGACCAGAGCACCAGTAGTGGGGACAGGCAGAAGGGGATGGAATCTAGGAGGTCACATGGGCAGCCCTTGATGATTGATTGGATGGGGTGAAGGTTGGGGAAGGGAGGGGAGGAGATGCCTCTCAGGTTTCAGGTTTGAAAAATTGGGTGGGTATAGTGTAGAAAGTGATTTTTAAAAAGGTATAAATTGCTAAGGGAGTTCAGAGGAAGGACAAAATTCTTCCAGCTGGTGGAGCGGTGGGAAGATTTAATATTGTAAAGATGTCAATTAATGCATAAATTTAACACAATGCCAATCAAAGTACCAACAAAATGTTTGGGGAAACTTTACAAGAGTTCACCTGGAAAAATAAAGGTGCTAAAATAGGACCCCTCATTTTAAAAAATGAAAGGGCCATGCCCTACCAGACTTAAAACCTATTTTGAGTAATTAGAAGAATATGGGGCTTTGGAGGAACATATAGAAGTGTTATGCAACAGAAGAGAACATTTAAAAATA